CACACAATATATACAGACAAAATTCTTCTTCCTTTTCACAACATTTCATGCGTAAAGTACAGTAATGTTCTGTAATATTCTTTGAAAATGACTCTATGAAGAGCCGAAACGTCAGATCTTTTTTAATAAAACAGATTCCAGTTTAGTCTATGGGTGCTGTTAACTTAGATCAAGCACTATTAAAATGTATCTGTCAGCTATTAAATATGTGTATGTCAAAAACGAACTTTCAATTTCGGTCTTCGATCATCAGCGTGTCGGAGACAAACTGTATTTATTGATTAGAGCAGCAAAACGGCTAGAGAACACTACTGCACATCCAAGGCTCCCAATCACTTTCGATATTTTAAAACGTCTGGTGCATCTTTTATCCTAAGGAATTTTCAGTCCTGTTTCGATTGGATGTTTTGTATAGCTCTTACCAAACACGAGCTTATTTCCGTCTGAAAACTTCAAAAACCGATCCCTTTAGGCAGTGTATCGTTATTTCTTTATTCGAAACTCAAAACTCTACTACCCGGTTCCATTTTTAAAATGTTTCATCGATTTGCAAAGAACCTCTCTTTCTTACACCTCAGGGTGTTCCTCTTACGCGCTCAATTTTTATCGAAAAAACACGGCAAGTTTTACAGCGATTAGATCTCGATTCGCGCTCATACTCTGGCCATTCTTTCCGACGCGGTGCGGCTCTGACAGCAGCTGCTGTCGGTATTCCTCAACGCGTCATACAAACACTTGGAAGATGGCTTTCGGCATCATCATTTAAATTATTTTGCCAGTCAGTACTATTCGGACGGCTCTGATAGCTCTCACTACCTAGTCACATTCTTATTGGGTCTGATGCTACACATTAACATGGGCCAATTCCAATAAGAACTCACATAATGTATTACATTATATTTGTATTTTTAGTTAGTTCTTGTAGTTATTTTGCGCTTCATGAGAAGCTATTTGCCCAATAAGAAAAAGAACGAACTCTATGCTCAATAGCTACGTAGATTTAAGATATAACATGAATTGAGATTTAAGATGTTAAATCAAGTTCATGGTGAATTAAATCTTAGCGGGCGCTTCTTTCTAATCGAGTTGGTGAAAATTTTCGTTTAGTTAGTTGCTAAAGAATTCGATCGTTTAGAATTTTGATTGTTCACTTCGCTTCGTTAAAGTCTAAGTAGAAGTTTCAGTCTACCCACCACCTCCCCGACGCCTACCTACAAGTACTCCTGGCTCGATCTGACGGTCAGTACAGCCGGGGCTGATTTTCCGCTACAACGATTAGTTCCCAATAACATGGGCACTCAGCAATTGGTTTCATTCATTACTGATAGTACTACATCATTAATCTTTCGATTGTCCACCTGTTCTCTTCACTCCGCGTTTGCGAGAGCGACAGCATCATACATGTCTCCAATTGCAATAACTTACCGACTTGTCAACCTGTTGATTCCACTTCGCCAATGCGGGAGCAACAGTGTCACACAATGTCGTCAGCTGATGCGGGACCAATTCCAATAAGAACTCACATAATGTATGACATTATATTTGTATTTGTAGTTAGTTCTTGTAGTTATTTTAAGCTTCATGAAAAAGCTATTTGCTCAATAAAGAAAAAGAATGAACTTTGTGCTCAATAACTAGGTAGATTTAAGAGATAACATGATATTTTATGAACAATCAAAACAAAATATTTTTAAATGGCATCGCAAGATATAATGATGATGGGCGAAGCATCATCGTCATCCTCAAGTTCAGCTAAACCTGTTATTACAAAAACAAAATCAAATAAACGAAAATCAATGATATTCATTGATGATTATAATTTCAATTGAAAAATTTTAATAAAGATAAAACTATTAAATTTTGGCAGTGTGCTAATAGAAGTTGTGGTGTGCTTTTGCATACGAATCTTAACGCTGAATTTTTACGTTATTCTAGAAAAGTGACCGACCATTCTCATTTACCAAATTCACCTGAATTAGAAATCGAAATTTGAGAGAAACAATGCGACAAAGTGCTGAAAATGATTTATTACCCTTACAAGAAATGCGAAAAGCTTTGCTGACAGTTGAAGCTCTTGCTGTTTTACCTGGTGCATCTAACCTTGGTATGATACTAATACTTTTATGTATCATTAATACACTTACTGTACTTTTTATTGTTTATGTTTGTGTCAGGTCATAACTTAGTACATAATTGCCGTAAAATGATTCCTCCACTTCCACAATCATCTTTTTCTATTCCAAATTCGTATACAAGAGATGATCACAATAATGAGCGGTTATTACTACGCGATAGTGATGATTCAAAATTTTTGCTGAACAACGAACTAAAGCATTTATGTAATCGGTTCAACAATCACCAAATTACGGCGAAAGATCTATTAAGCGGACTTTCTTTTTTTGTAGCGAATGAAAAATAAAATAAGATTCAATCCGTTATAATAAATTAAATGATTAACATTGTCGCCGAGCACTGTTCGTATTTTATTTAAAGGACATTTTTTCGGCGGATCATGTCATAAAGGACCATTTTTCAGGGGCACTTTTACCAAGGATATTTACTCTGAAGGACATTTTTTCAAGGACGAAAAGCGAGGATATTTCGTCAAGGACATTTTTTAAAGGACATTCTAGACTGTCCCCGCTTTGATAATAAAGAATATGAAGGGAAGAAAATTCTTTTTGAGATAAGTTTGAAAAAAAAAGAGAACGATATCATGGCTCTGCCAGTAACCTTGTAGCTCTACTTGTTCACGTATGTGTGTGCTATCTCTTTCTCGTCACTGATATTTTCTTTCCTTTCTGTGCCCCATACATTATTCTTTTTGTTATTGTAATCTCTTCCAGTCGGTTGTTCTTCTCTCCTCATTTTTTTCCATTCACTTCATTATCATATACGTTGTTCATCAACATCAAGGTTTGAAAATAGAACGACGACAATATCCCTTCATGTTCTCTCAAAGCATTTTATTGTGCGTGGTTACTATCTCGATTCTCTACTTGGTATCGGAGGCTAGATTTGTCAATGCACAACCCTCTGTTCGACTTATGAATGCCGCTCTTGGAGAGGTCCTTATGCCTGTCGTAGGACTTGGCACAGGAGGATACGGCAATCCCAATGAAACGGACGGTGAATATTGGGGACCTGAACAAGGCCATAATTCTACAGTTGCATGGTTGAAACTGGGCGGTCGACGCATTGATACCGCCTATGGCTACGGTTCACGCGACGGAGTCGGTACAGGATGGGTCGCTAGTGATGTACCTCGCTCCGAAATATTTATCACATCCAAAGTGGATCCGTCTGGTTGCACCGAAGCCCTCGAAGAGTTTGCTATTACTCTAAAATCTCTGAAGACCGATTATATCGATCTTCTTCTCATCCACTGGCCGGGCGCTCAACCAGGCACGTCCGGTGAGCCAATTCCTTCTTGTAAGCAAGGGAAATCAACTTGGACTGACTGTCGCCTTCAAACATGGCAAGCATTACAAAAATTATTTGATCAGCAACGTGTAAGAATCTTCCAAAGTTTTCACAAAAACAACGAGTGTATCAGAAAAAAAGGCAGTTTTAGTATTTCTTTAATTGCTCTGTGACTTTTCATCCTTTGAACTTGAGCTTATCGTTAGTGACAAAGAGTCAAATTTTATTTTTCTACAATATCAGAAAATAACGTTTAGATTAGGTTTGACAGTAAAGATTATCAGGACAGAACACTTTTTTACGTTTTTCTTTGTTTTTCTTAATTATGACTTTAAGTAATACTTCAACAGCGATATTTTGTCGATAACAAAGCATCAAATCAATACAGTCGAAAGAAAGAAATATCTAGCTTTCAGCTGTTTTAATTTTGACGTTTTTGAGCATCCCTATCGCAGCTTTGACAAACAATATGAAAATATTCTCAACCATCTGGACATGAATGTCAGTTTCATCTAGCAAAAACATTCGTGTCATTAAACTGATCATCATGTTATAAGGACAAAGGGGAGGAGTAACTTTACTACTACTCTCGGTAATGATGACTATTTACTACTCCATGTCACTATGTCACACAAGCTTATATAGAAGAGAGAAAGAAAGAGAGAGAATTGAGCATAGAAAGGAATAATACAAAAAGGATAGGAACGAAAAAGTGAGAAGAACGAGCAAATGATGATATCATCGAGAGAGTCGTATCATTATCGGCACACATGTAAAAAAGCTTGATTCAATCAGAAGATCTCATCTACAAAAGTAGAATAGACAAAAGAGTATAAGTCACGAAAAAATGTTGCTAGAAATTGCACCTTGCTGATGACCTTAAATGACAAATCTAAACTAACAATTATTTATATAATTTTCGGAGGATATAAATAAAAAAGCCTTTATGATTAAGTCTACATCTAAAGCTGAGAAATTAATTAATTATTCATTCTGAATATTGAGACTGCCCTTCTTTTTCGATACATATTTTAGTTTTTAATCGATTCTTAATGATCTCTTTTGTTTAGGTTCGTGCGATAGGTGTAAGCAATTTTGAAGTAAATCATTTATTAGAAATCATTAATTTAAACTCTTCTATTCCCAGTGTCAATCAAGTATGTTCACTTGATGAAATGTTCTTCTGATTATTAATTTCTTTCAACAGGTTGAATTTCATCCTTATTGGCATGAAGACGAACTTCTTGATTTCTGCAAGAAACACAACATTACCTTCAACAGCTACTCTCCAGGCGCTGCACCTGATCACGCAGTGTGGCTTGGTCCCTCTTGGAATCCTATTCCGGACCTGCGCAAGCATCCCACTATTATTCAGATAGCGCAGAAGCACAGTAAGACGCCTGCACAAGTAATATATCGATGGCATTGGCAGCAAGGCATCGTCATCAATCCTCGCACTCGCAATTCGACACACATGATGGAGAATCTATCCATATTCGATTTTGAGCTCGATATACAGGATATGATGACTTTGGCCTATTTAAATCATCCAATCACTAAACTGGGCAATGATCCAAGACTAATTTTGTAAAAAATTACAAGATCAATCTATATATCACATACAACTTGAATAAAAATATACTTTATCATACGTCTCTCAATAACATCTATACACATAGACATTTTTTTAACTTTTTTTTCAAAACTGAATTGACGAAAAATTTGTGGAGGGTGTAAGAGTGAGAGAAGTTATCATAATACAAGTGTATTTCAAAGTTACTGATAAGAATTATCAAGTGGCAAGTATCTCTAAACAAAATGATCTTTTGAATAAAAAATCAGTAATGAACGTTACGGTGGAAATGTTAATGGTTATGTTTCTTATTGTTGTCATTGTCGTTTTGCATGCAATGTGAAAAACGATGCTGTTGAATGAAAGCAGAGAAATCGATTTTAAGTGTAGTGTTTTGCTTACGTTGTTTGTTTTGATTATCACTGGTCTTGAAGGAAACATTGTTTTTATCAATTGTTCTTGTAGCACAAAGGATATTTATGTGAGTAGATGAGGAAATCAGCTATACCAAGTAAACAAATGACTAGCGCAGTTAAAAAAATAAGATTGATCATGTTGAATTGACGTTGTTGCTGAATACTCTGGACCGCATGTTTTTATCAATGGGGGCATTGAAATAATAGCTTTGAAGGACATTTCCAAGTGACGAAGAATTTGAGTGTTCGATACGGTATAAACTAATATACTGTACTCATTTATTAATGTAAAGTAGGTGACTTTGGATGAATCATAAAACATGGAGAACATTTTTGATTGTAACTGGTAATCTAAAAGATTGCATATATTGACTTTGATCGAAAAACGCAAGTAATCGAAAGTACTCATCTACAATTTGACGAAGAAACCAAAGAAATAAATGGATATGTCCATGCAAACGAACATGTCAAAAAAAGAATATGAGAATTTGTATGGTTACAAAATAAAATTTGTTTAGTAAAAGAATAAGTCGTGTACGATTGAAATCAATTGTTGTTTGAAATTGTGTAAAATTGGAGAGGATGCAAAATACTGTTTCATCATTCAATGAAAAACAAAACTAAATGATCTTCTCTAACATAGATCAAAGAAGAACAAAAAGAGGGAAAAATCTATTGATAAAAATCGCAAAAATGCAAAATTCCTTATTTATATTGTATCTTGACAGAGATTTTAAGATTTAGATTAATCGAAGCTAGTCATTTTATTATATTCTTATCATTTTGATAGAATTGACAACGAAATAAATTTTACCGCATTTGTCGAAGCACAAATTCGATACGTGTCCTACTGCTCCGGTTGAATAAGTTCCTCATTGTTTCGCTCTTGCTGTTCTTTTGCTTTTAGTTTTTATACTTGATCAATTTGGTTTAACTGTTCAATTTCGTCCTGTATCACTACTAATTGTTCTAGAACATCAACTCCTTGCAGTTCGTTCCATTGTTGTTCTTTTTTCCATCGATCTTTTGAATCCTTTCATTTCTCACGCTATCAGACGTATTGAAAAAAATAAATTTTCTATTTTGTGTTGTTCTGTGTTGAAAACTCTTTTTTTTGTTTTTTCTGATGTCCATTAGTTAATGGATAATTTGCTATGATTTATCCATGGGAAGAAAGCGAGTGAAACCGTTGCCTGAGGCTACATTGTCATCATCTAGTGATCAAGATGTTTTAAGCCCATATCAGATAAAAGCTGCTGTCAGATGGCGCAAAGGATAAAACAAATTCCATCATCTAAATGCTTTGTATGCGGTTCAACAAATAGTTCAATAATTGGAATGTAAAAAATGTTCACTGTTTTATCATCTACAATGTGTTATAATTGATGACTTCATGCAACTATTAACATTAGACACAAAAGAATTATTGGCAACATCGTTATATTGTAGCATATGTAAACCCAAACGTGCTGAGACAATTATATGAAAATCGCTAGAAAAAGTCTCATCCCGAATGATAAAAGATTCAGATATAGAATTAATCAAAACTCAGTTGTCTGGATTTAATGAATCGATTGAACAAGATGGAAGAAACTCTAATGTTCACACATATAAGTAATCAAAATGTTTTTAATCGTCTGCCTATAACGACGAATGGATTAAAAATAGTTAACAGTCAGCAAGGATAACATAGCGCTTCAACGCCCCCACCGCTAACAGCGATGAAGGTGTCCAGGCCCGAGTCGTTACCATCACTACTACAATCATTTTCTAGAAATAACCAGGATAGTATCCAATGGAAGAAAATTAGAAACAAGAATCCATGATGCACAAACTAATAAATTTTCAAATGTCAAAACTGATTTTAGTCGATCATTAATTATTTATCTAAATGAAAATACACAACCAATTAGATATTCAACGAAAGAAATGACAATTCAACTAGAAAAAGCCAGTGGTCATTTGAATATAAGATGTAGACTACAATAAGCCTACGTACATCCAAAAGGTGATTTAGTTTTTCAACTCTTATCAAAAGATGTACATCAAAAACTATCTGATAAATTCAAAAGAGACCCATGGAAACCATAATGTTTATTTACCTGGCGCTGTAAAATCCCATGCTGTAGCTATAAAAAAGCACCTAGTGGCATTAATCTATCCGAGGAATTTCGGTTCGAAGAATTTGATGAAAATAATCAACATGTGGGTTTTCAAATAGAAATTGAAAGAATAACTTGGTTAATAAAAAGAAATGTTTATAGAGTATCAGATCAAGCAACAGTAAAACTTGAAGTAGATAACCAAAATAAAAAAACCAACTTCTCGAACTAAGATTTTTTTAGTCGATCTTTAATTAATCTCTCCAGCTTGGCTTGTCTTTTAATCTGAAGAGAAATGAACCAAAACTTTAGAGTTTGAATATAGTCCTTCATTCGGATGTAATGCGTAAAATAAGCAAAGTTTGATGTGATTTTGGCTCAATTTTAATAAAGTAGTGTTTGCCTCATAACACTTGGTTGAAACGGACTTCATTGTAGATCAAGCGAAAGAGCGCACTTTATTGTACTGGAAAAACTTATTCTGTCGCGTTATCATATTTGCGAAAGAGATAGAAAAAAGGCAAAACTGTTCAGGAAAACCAAGAAAAACCACTTCAGAAAGTTGGACATGTTGAAGCTTCTCAGTATTCTTTATATAATTTTTCTTCCTTTCAATTATCCAGCAGAACTTGTTTACCAGGTGGAAATCGAACTTGTACGTTCTGTTAGGGTCTGCGCCGCAGACCCTAACAAATACACTGGACAACAATACACTGGATATGACCAAGTTGGTCATATCCAGTGTATTGTTGATCGGTGCACATAAATTCATGCAAGAAAAAAGGAAACAGGCTGCTGTCAGTAAGTCAAATGGACACCACAGTAAAGCCCTAGTTAGGAAACAGCGATTTTAATGTAGTTTTAGAATCGTTATTTTAAACAGGCAAATCAAGTTCGAATTTTTTCGAGCTCGATCGGGCACGTGTCATCAAAAGAAGGACTACTTTTGGTAAAAGAAATTGTCGTTTTCAATAGATTTACGTTTTGACTGTACCGCCATTTGTCAAAAAAAACTGGAGTACGATAACGGTTGGTTTTGCGAATGAGTATATGATGGCATGATGCCGCGTGACATGAGAACCCGTTTAGTTATTTTCTGCTTTGTTTGGAAAGTTCTAAGCCAGAACTAAATGGATCATTGGATTCAGAGGCAGCGGAACGTTTCCAAATGGGGTAATGCCCAGTATAAGCTAGTCCCTTACTCAAAACAAATTTTTTCCGGTTTTGCTTATATCAGGTATAAAGAAATTTAGATGCTATGCTAGTCTATTTGGTATCTGTTGTCATATTATGCAGAATACTGCGGAATTTTCGTATTCTATTCGCTAAGAAACTGCCTAAATAGTAGTGCAGAATAGAAACAAATATTCCAACTAAAAAATACTAGTTTATTAAAT